CTCTCCCCTTCTTCCTGTTTCCCCAATTCTCCTCTCTTTGTCCCACCTATACTTCCTGCCTGGTCACTGGCCATCAGTGTTTTATTTATATAGAGCGATATCCACAGGAAGTTCCAGTGTTGAGCTGGGCAGAGTAAGGTGAGGTAAAGTCACCTTCATGGACTGTCAAGAACCAACTCTGCTGAGGGCCACCTCCGCTTTGGCCTTGTCCGAGACCTGAGCCTGTTCCTCTCACCTGCACACAGGCCCAGGGCTGCAGCTTACTGGGTCCTGTTGTTGTCTCAAGCCGGCCCTCCCTCTCCCTCCTTCTCCTTCCCTCCCTTGCTTTGGATTCCTGCCTCCCTCAGGTTAATGTGGCCCCTGATGAATTTAGCAAACCCTCCCCTTGCTCATCTAAGGGCCTCATCACAAGGCCAACCAAAATGGTTTCGTACATATGCAAGCATGCCCCCAACAGCTGCCACAGGCTGAGGCAACAGATGGTGCCTGGCATTCATTGGTTGGCAGCGACAGCCTCAGGGGCCAATCAAAATGGGTGGAAGGCGGGGAAAACAGCGGCTCTTCAGGATCAGCAGGAGTGGGCACCAATGACAGGGCGAGGTGGTTTGGGTAGACTCCCGGGAACTCGCTCACCCTGTGAGCTGGCTGAGGACATTTGCACACATGTCCCCTACAGGGCTTCATTACTGAGATACTTTCCCCCAAGGACCAGGCAGGACAGTCAGTGTGCCAGACACCAACCAGGCAGATCTGGGCTTGAGGAACGATGTTTGGGAGAAGCCTCTGGCCGGAGCCAGGAACACGGTCAGAAGATGGGGGTTCCCTTTTGAATTGCATTAGGGGGTGGGGTGGGGTGGAGGTATGGGGGAGTGGGGGTGGGTGGGAGGCTGGGGTTGAGATCTCTGGCTGTGTGGTCCCTTGGGAAAGGTACACTGAGATGACTCTCACAGTTCAGTCACTCTTGTGGCTTGGATCTGGAGCCACGTCTTAACTGCCCGCATCCGGTGGGGCTATTTTGGGCAACAGCAGCCTTAGACACCGGGGCCCTGCTGGCAGGAGTTGGTCACTCTGAGTGGGCCTTAGAAGGTTATGCCCAGCCTCTGCTTCCTGTTGTGATCTCTGTTTCCTGGTCCTCTGGTCCAATTTCATTTCTGGTGCAGTCATAAAATGCCCTGACCAGAAACAGCTTGTGGGGTGGTCATTTGGCTTACAGTCCCGGGCTACAGTCCATCATCGAAGGGAAGTCACCGGAGAAGGAGCCGGGGACCGCGAGTATGAGGTCCTTTTCTGTCACTGTGATAAAACACCGTGACCAAGGCAACTGATAGAAGGAAGTTCTTTACTTCTATGGATTTACAGTTCCAGAGGGTTAAGAGTCCATCATCACCACTGTGAGGAAACATGGCAGCTGGCAGGTGAGTATACCAGCTGGAGCAGAAGCTGAGGGTTCACATCTTGAACCCAGACACAAAACAGAGAGGGTGAACTGAGAATGGCATGTGGCCTTCAAACTCCCAAAGCCCACTGTGATAGCTTTTCAGAACCAGCCCCCCCCCCCTCAAGTGGAAAGCACACCTGTGAGGGTTTTTGTTTTGTTTTGTTTGTGTTTTTATTTTGGCTAATTTGCTAATTTGAAGTAGGAAGATCCACTTCTAATCCAGATCTTTGAGATAGGAAGACACAACTTTAATCCAGATTTTTTTTTTTAATTTTTAAAGATTTATTTATTTATTATGTATACATTGTTCTGTCTGTACATATCCCCACAGGCCAGAAGAGGGCACCGGATCTCATTACAGATGGTTGTGAGCCACCATGTGGTTGCTGGGAATTGAACTCAGGACCTTTGGAAGAGCAAGCAGTGCTCTTAACCTCTGAGCCATCTCTCCAGCCCCCAAATCCAGATCTTTTGAGATGGGAAAAGACATGATTTTGATCCAGATCTTGAGGTGGGAAGATGCACCTTTAATTCAGATCTAATCTGGGCCATGCCTTCTGCTGGAGTCTACATAAGGATGTTGTAGAATATTATTTTAATTAGGCAAAGTTGTGTTAATTTTGTTTATGCTCCATTTGTTTAATTATGTAATGATGTGTTGCATTTGTTTCACCTTGCTTGCCTAAGGCATCTGATTGATCTAATAAAGAGCCAAACAGCCAATAGCTGGGCAGAGAAGGGATAGGTGGGGCTGGCGGGCAGAAAGAATAAATAAGAGGAGAAATCTAGGCTCAAAGGGAAGAAGGAGAGGACAAGGGACATGCCCAGGGCAAGAAGCCAGGCAGACACAGAGAAGCAGCGAAAGGAAGATATACAGAAGTAAAAAGGGTAATAAACCCTGAGGCAAAAGGTAGATAAAGAGAAATAGGTTAATTTAAGTTAAAAGAGCTAGCAAGAAATGTGCCTAAGCTAGGCAGAGCATTCAAAACTAATAACAAGTCTCTGTGTCATGATTTGGGAGCAGGTTGGTGTCCCAAAAGAAAAAGCTTGGACATAGGATATGGAAGAAGCAGAGGTTTGCTCACTGCTGCTTGCCCTTGCCTTCCTAGCAGGTCCATTGTTGTTTTTACTCTTTTGGGGACCCGCCATCCACCTCCCAAATAAATCACACATGGAGGCTTTTTCTTAATTATAAATGTCCAGCCTTAGCTTGGCTTGTTTCTAGCCAGCTTTCCTTAACTTTACATTATCCTGTTTATTTTTTGCCTCTGGGCTTTTATATCTCTCTATTTCTGTATACCTTTCTTTCTTTCTTTTTTTTTTTTTACTCCATGGCTTGCTGTATAGCTGGGTGGCTGGCCCCTGGTGTCCTCCTCCTTCTCTGGCTACTTCCTTTTCCTCCCACATTTCTCCTTCTATATCTTCTCTGTGTCTGCCAACCCCACCTATCCTTTCTCCTGCCTTACCATTGGCTATTCAGCTCTTTATTGGATCATCATGTGTTTTAGACAGGCACAGTAACACAGCTTCACAGAGTTAAACAAATGCAACATGAACAAAAGTAACACATCTTAAAATAATGTTCCCCAAAATTTCCTTCATTTTTTTTCCTAAACAAAAATGAAAGGTTTTAACTTTAACATAAGATTGTATACAATAAGAACAATTATCAAGTAAAGATTACACTCACAATATACTGAATTCCAATTCATTTCTGTCTGGTAAATTTAAAGAAAATACTCCCTAATCTATCATATCTTAGAAAATCCAAAATTTCATACTTAATTTACTTTCTATCATATCTAAAGAAAATTGCAACTATAACTATGTAGTCTTCAACTCCATCAAAGACCAGAAGGATGCAATATTATTTAAATAAACAAAAAGTGAATGCAAAAAACTTCCAAAACTCTAGCAATGACAGAGACATCTGACTGCCTGGACAGTCACCCAAAGTTCCTCTGTAACATTGGAGCATCCATCTTCAGCCTACAGGCCCATAGTATCTGGCAGACTTTTCAATTAAGCAGCAAATTTGAAAGACTATCCTATCTATATTGGCAAAGTATGTCAGCCACTTTCCTCTGTGTCCTGTAGAATGTCTGGCAGTTTCTTCTGCGAACCCTGAAGGACCATCCCACCTTGTTTTGGCAAAGTTCAGTGGTCACTTTCTTGTGAATCCTGCATGTCCAGTTTATACAACATACTGTCAAGCAATCTTGACAAGAGCAGCTTCTTGCCTAAATGTCTAGCCTTGCCACTTTGAAAGCAAACCCCATAAAGAATTTCTTTGATGCCCATCAACTCTGAAGTAAATTGGTACTGCCAGGAGCAGAAGTGTTTCATTGTCATGAAAAGCCCTAAGTTAACAAAACATTTTAAATGCTATATTCTGTTTGTCTCTGAAAGGTTTGAAGACCATCTGTCTATCTAAAATATATCTCTGTATGATCTGGAAAGCATACTTAACATATCTACAATTTTGATTGCTATAAATTACTAACCACTAACCTATGCTTCCTGGTTATCCTATATAGCTTATAATAATAGCTTTCAAAAACTAGAACTTCATCCTACATTTCCAAACGAACTGCATAGGCACAATTCCTCAAACAAAAATAGAAACATACATACAATATGTTGTAACAAAAATAACCTTAAATTTTTATTAGTATACAAAAATCCTTTAAACAAGAGTGGAAACATATATACAATGTAACAAAAAAAATCTTTAAATTTGTCTCAATATACCAAAATCCATGCCAATGTGAAATATCTGAGATTAATAATTGGGTTTTTATCCTCTATTCCCCTAAATTATAATAAACATTCATGACCCACCAAATAACCAAAGACTATCCACACCCTGCAACTCTTGGGAACATGAATGTCACTTTCTCCAAACTGCTTCCTGCCATCTGTAGGCAAAGGTATTTTTTAGGGGTCCCTGAGAAAATTTGAGCTAATGGCCAAGTCTTGGGAAGACAAACTATAATCTTTGTTGATAGATATCACCTGTCAAGATTCAGGAGGTCTCCCCTGATCAAACCTGATCCATCCCATTCCTGAAGGGTTGATTTCCATTGGAAAAATATATTTCTTGACTTCTTTTTTAAAGTTTAGATAGCCCTAAAGTATCTAGGTTGGTTCAGTTTTGCAGTCCTGCTCACAATCCCATTGTCTGTCAGCAGCAGATGCCCATCAGCCATCAAAAAATTCAAAATCAACACAATAACATACAGGATCCTGACTCCATGTATTTCCCATCTTACATGGCCTTTTTCTTTTATATTACTTGTACTGTATGTTTAAAGACTTTATTTTTTATTTTATTTTATTTTTTTTTGGTTTTTCGAGACAGGGTTTCTTTGTGTAGCTTTGCGCCCTTCCTGGCACTCACTTGGTAGCCCAGGCTGGCCTCGAACTCACAGAGATCCGCCTGGCTCTGCCTCCCGAGTGCTGGGATTAAAGGCATGCGCCACCACCGCCCGGCCTAAGACTTTATTTTTTTAAACTATTTCTTTCTGTAAGTGCTTATACCCATTTTTTTTTTTTCGTTCTTAAGCCTACACACATTGTAAAGCACACTGGAATCTGTTTAGAGTTTTTGTTTTGTTTTGTTTTTCATCTGGACCTCTTTTACTGTGTATCTTTTAGCCTTTTTTGACTGCACGAGCAAACTTACAAATTGCTAACCTACACCTGGATCCTTCTTGAGTGGCTCTCACCTGGCTCTGCCCACTTCTGGGCTAGTGAAAGCCAGCCTAAAGCTCATGGCCCGGTTGGAGGTTCGTGACTAAAAACTGCATTCAACCTTTTTAGAGCTCTAGAATGCGATGCTTGCACTGTGGCAGGCATTTTTACTTAGTTTTTTGTTCCTACTTAACACACTGGGTACTCAAGGGCTCACTGTCTAGCAGAAACTGTCCAGCGGGAACTCTTAAAGGAGCCATTTAAAAAAAATAAAACTTTCTTAGGCACTATGGAAATTCAAGCCCCATGATGGGTGCCAAAATGTTGTTGTTGTTTTTACTCTTTTGGGAGGGGGGCATCATCCATCTCCCAAATAAATCACACATGGAGGCTTTTTCTTAATTATAAATGCCCAGCTTTAGCTTGTCTTGTTTCTAGCCAGCTTTCCCTAACTTTAAATTATCCTGTTAATCTTTTGCCTTTGGGCTTTTATCTTTCTCTATTTTTGTATACCTTTCATTATTTCTGGCTCCATGCCTTGCTGTGTAGCTGGGTGACTGGTCCCTGATGTTCTCCTCCTTCTTGGGCTACTCCTTCTTCTCTCCCAGATTTTTCCTTCTATATTCTCTCTGTGCCTGCCAGCCCTACCTATCCTTTCTCCTTCCTTACCATTGGCTATTCAGCTCTTTATTAGACCATCAGGTATTTTAGACAGGCACAGTAACACAGCTTTACCCAGTTAAACAAATATAACATAAACAAAAACAACACACCTTAAAATAATGTTCCCCAACAGACCATTTCTTCACTGCTTCCTAGGGATTCAGCATACACTGAAGACCAGCTGAGACATCCGGTTTCATAGACTGAGTAACTGCTAAATTCTTGGACTTACTGTTCACAGCCAGCTATTGTTGAAGTATCTGGACTACAGCCTGTAAATCATTCTAATAAATCCCCTCTCTCTATATATATAAGTCTATAGAGATTCATTCTATAAGCTCTGTTACTCTAGAGAACTCTGACTAATGCACTCACCCCCAGTGACATACTTCCTCCAGCAAGTCTGTACCTTCTACACCTACACAAACAGTGCCACCAACTGGGGACCAAGTCTGCATGTATGTATGTATTTATTTACTTTCTATTTATTTATTTATTATGTATACAGCATTCTGTCTGGCTTTATGCTTGCAGGCTGAAGAGGGCACCAGATCTCATTACAGATGGTTGTGAGCCACCATGTGGTTGCTGGAAATTGAACTCATGACGTCTGAAAGAGCAGTCAGTACTCTTAACTGCTGAGCCATCTCTTCAACCCCCAGGACAAAGTACTTAAATGCCTGAGAATATGGGGATCATCTCACTCAAACTGTGGAACAACAGGTTACACCACAGCCACAAGCCAAGAGCAGGGAGGAACTAATGCGTCCTTGCTTTCAGCTAGCTTTCTTAACCCCTACAGTTCAGAACCACTGCCTAGGGAATGGTGCTGCTGGGGCAGGCTGGTCTTTCTATATCGGTCAGCAATCCAGACAGTCCCCCACAGACATGCTTTCAGGCCAACCTGATCTAGACAATTCCTCAGCTGAAACCCTTTTCCCAGGTGACTCTATATTGTTAGAACTAACCAGCGCATCCACATGAAGTGAACAGTCACACACACACACACACACACACACACACACACACACACACACACGCACACTACTGGAGCCATGGACCAAGCTTCTCCACCCCACCTCAGTCACGATGGGCTGAAAACCTTCCAAAGCATGAGCTACAATCAATCCTGCTTTCTTATGCCTCTTCTATCCATCAGCCATCTCACTTCAGTTCATTCAGCAAATACTTCCTGAACACTGACTGTCAGGGGCCAGGCTAGGACAAGGTCAGTGATGGCCGCCGTTGTTCTTTTTCTTTTGTAGTTTTAGTTTTTTGAGACAGGGTTTCTCTGTGTAATTCTGACTTGGAACTCGCTCTGTAGACCAGGCTGGCTTCAAACTCACAGAGATTCACCTGCCTCTGTCTCCCAAGTGCTGGGACTGAAGGCATGCGCCACCACCGCCTGGTGCTACCACCACCTGATGCCACTGCTGCTTTTATAAGGGTACCAGGCCAGGGTGGAGCCAAGCACATCAATTCATTAGGGAGATGGGTCAGTCAGTAAAGTACCTGTTATGCAAGCATGAAGACCTGAGTTGAGATGCCCCAAAATCCAGACCCTGGCTCAGTCTCCAGCACCCACATGGCAGCTCACAGTCATCCATAACTCTAGTTGCAGGGGATCCAGCAACTTCTTCTGGCTTCCACAGATACCAGACATGGGCATGGTGCACATACGTACATGTAGGCAAATATGCATATACAATAGGTAAATAAATAGTTTTTAAAACACTGAACACGGCAGTGGGCTTGGCTAAAGCCACACGACACAGGCCAACCCTGGAAGCTCACTGTCCAGCCAGCCTAGCTGAATTGATGATTTTCAGGTTCAGTGAGAGACTGTATGTCAAAAAATAAAGACAAGGGAAAGACATGTGACAGTGATGTCTGGCTTCCACATGCATGCGTACACATGTCCACATGCATCTATCCATACTAACAAATATACCCCCCCCCACACACGTACATGCATACGCACAGGCACACGTACACGCACATGCATACACTACATAAATGAGAAGCTCTACTGTAGTTTGGGCATGGCTGCCACTACATCTACTATCACATGATTCTATGAGTGCCATGCCAGGGTAGCTCTGATTCAGTGACGTCCTGACAGACATGAACAAAAGTGATGCTCAGCCTCAGACTCACCTGTGGGCCAGGCACTGCTGACAGTGCTTTACGAATCAAAGCTTGTGACAGGAAAGAAGTGGACATTGTCACTCTTTCCCCCCACTTTCACAGGGGGGGAAACCAAGGCACAGAAAGGTTAGCATGCCCAGGATATCAAGTTGCAGAGGCAGATGTTTTTGTGTGTGTGTTGTGTTATGTGTGGTATGGTGTATGAGTGAGTGTGTGTGTGTGGGGGGGTTTACACGTGTGTCCATGCACACACATGTGAGGATAGAGGACAACATTGGGTGTCTTGCTCTATCACTCTCTGTCTTATTCCATTGAATTCTGGTCTCTCACTGCACCTGCAGCTTGCAGGCCAGCGAGTCCCAGGGATCCTCCTGTGTTCATCCCCCACAGTGCTGCGGTTACAGGTGCAGCCACACTGGGCTTGTTAACATGGGTTCTGGGGATCCCACAGTATGTTACCCACAGAACCATCCGCCCAGCCACAAGCTCTCCCCCAACCATGTGTGTGTGTGTGTGTGTGTGTGTATGCGCGCGCACACTCATGCACATGTGCACATGCCATGTGTGGGGGTACCCAAGGAGACCAGAAGAGTATATTGTCAGATCTCCCATAGCTACAATTACAGGCAGTGTAAGCCACCTTGTGTGGATGCTGGGAACTGAGTTCAGATCCTCCGGAAGAGCCACAAGCACTCTTCACTGCTGAGTGGTCTCTCTGCCCCCAGAACCTGTATCCTGATGCAGGCTGCCTGGCTTCAGGGCCGAGGCTGCCTAGGGAGGTAGCTGTAGATCCTTCCTTTAGGGCTTGCCAGGACCCTGGCTCCAGTTGTTCCCTGCCTCAGTGATTTGACAAAGACATGCATGCTTGGACCAGTGGGTGCTCACAAGCAACAGAATCAGCAGGGACATCCTCTCCTGCTGGGTTAGCTCTGCTATGAACCAGCTCAGGAGCTTAAGCTCAGGACAAAGGAGAGAGAGAGAGAGACAGAGAGAGAGAGACAGAGACAGAGACAGAGACAGAGACAGAGACAGAGAGACAGAGACAGAGGGTCCTTACCGCTGGGGAGGAGGGCAAGGCCCCTGACCATTTCCTGTGTAGACAAAGTTTGGAAAGATTGGGCTGGGCTGACAGCTCAGTTAGGCAAGTGCTTGCCTTACAAGCATGAGGCTCTGAGTTCCAGTCCCCAGAACCCATGTTGAAGAATAGAAATAGCTGAGCATGGTGGCATATGCTTGTAATTCCAGGGTTGGAGGGGTGGGGACAGGAGGGTCTGCCAGCCTAGCTCATTTGGTGAGCTCCAGGACAATGACAGACTGTCTCAAAATCAACAAAGCTAAAAAGCCGTGAGGAATGACAGCTGAGCTTGTCTTCTGGCCTCTGAACATGTGTGCATTCACATCTGCACACACACACACACACACACACACACACACACACACACACTCACTAGATATCTCGGAGAACCAAGTTTGTGAGTAGACAGTGTCCTGCCCTGGCTCCTTCTTGGTCCTGTTGAGGCTTTGCAGCAGTGAGCTTTGGTGAGACCCCTCCCTATCCTGTGAACAGCTGCCTCAGCATATAGCCCAGGATGGCTTTGAACTCATGCCTTAGCCTCCCAAGTGCTAGGATCACAAGTATGAGCCATCACAGTTGGCTCCTGGCTGGGTTTGTATGGTTCTGAGCACCTCCTGTAGATGGCTTCTTTGTCAACCCAGAGTGCAAATTTCCAGCCACTTCTGCTGGAGTCACACTTCAGAACACCTCAGCACCCATGGCTCATGGGCATATCTTCTTCAAAGAGATCTGGACCGCATTGCTGGTACGCAGGGGCTGCTTCTTACAGCTGGTATTTGTGTACTCTTAAAATCTGTTTGATTTCTTACAACTGAGTTCCATGCAGCCCAGGTTGGCCTCATATTTGCTGTATAGCTGAGGATGACTTTGAACTTCAGATCTTTCTGCATTCTCCTCCTGAGTGCTGAGGTTGCAGGCATGCATCACCATGCCTGGTCTAGGAGGAGCTGGGGATGTGAGTGTTTTGTGCATGCTAGGCAAGCAGTCTACCAACTGAGATGTCCTAACCTCTTGTGTCTTACTGAGTAATGAGTCTTTACCATGAACGTTCCCTGTTCCAATCACCGCGGGGTGTCAGCCTCTTGCTTGGACCTAAACTGACACACAAGCCTAAGAGCCACCTCGCTGGTGGCTCCTGCCCACGGTCTTCTGATAGAACTGGCCAGTGTGGTAACAGTGCTGAGCCAGACCACCTGGGTTCAAAGTGCACACACTGGCTGGTGAACGCCACTCAGTTTCCCTCTATTTTTATGTCCTGTGTAAGATGGAGGTGTCCTGGTACATTTGTCCTGCTGTGACGAAATGACCAAGTAGCAATGTTTGGCTCCTCCCTCTGGAGGCTGAGAAGTCCTGGGTCAAAGTGCAGGCTGATTTGATGTCTGGGGAGGGTCTATCATTCACATGTGGTATCTCCTGTGCCTCTACCTGGCAGCAGAGGCAAATGGACTCCTTCGGTCATTCTATAAACACCTCAACTCCAGTCTGCCTTCACGGTTTAATCATGTCCTGTGATGGTTGGTTTTTGTCAACTCTAAAAACTAGAGACACCTGGGAAGAGGAAACCTCAGCTGAGGAACCGTCTCCATCAGACTGGCCTGTGGGCATGTCTGTGGGCGCATTATTTTGATTGCTAATTAGTGAAGGAGGGTCGAGCCCACTATGGGTCACGTCTCCCTCGGACAGGTGGTCCTGGGCTGTATAAGAAAGGTGGCCCATGTGAGCCGGGAAGCAAGGCATCCGTCAGCATCCCTTCACGGTCTCTGCTTCAGCTCTTGCCTCCGGGTTCCTGCGTCGATCCTGCCCTGGCTTTCCAATGAGGGACTGTAACCTGTAAGCCAAATAAATGCATTCCTTCCCAAGGTGCTTTTGGTCAATGACCTGTCACAGCAACAGAGAATCAACCCGGGACATCTCCCCAGTGGCCTTACCATTTAAAATGACCAGACAAGAGGCTCAGGTCTCAGTGCATGAAGTTTGGAGTGACACAAATATTCAGACTACATCAGAGTAACATGACCATTGCAGGACTCACCAAAGCTAATGTATGCGAAACACATGGCACATAATAAGAGTGTCATATAAGGACAGGGCATTATTACGTCGGTCAACCCTTAGGGTTGGGGCAGCAGGGTTTCTCTCCTAGGATGTCC